AGGAGGCTGAGGTGGGGGCGATCATTTTTTTTTCCCAGGTCGAGGCTGCAGTTTTTTTTTATCGTGCCACTGCACTCCTTTTTTTTTGACAGCCAGACCCTGTCTTTTTTTTTTCCTTTTGGCCATTTCTACTTTTTTTTTAAATAATGTGAGAAGATATTTTTTTTTTAGAGTATTCACAAATGGTTTTTTTTTGACACCGAGTACAAGTTATTTTTTTTTAACTAAGGCGTGGGCAGCTTTTTTTTTCATACTTCCTCAACTTAGTTTTTTTTTGCAAGGGTAGCATAAAGCTTTTTTTTTCAAAATTTGGTAAGTTTGTTTTTTTTTTGGTATTGGTCAAAGTTCTTTTTTTTTCCTATACTAACGAACTGCTTTTTTTTTTAGCTAATGGAGAACAAATTTTTTTTTAGAGCAGTTTCCATACCATTTTTTTTTGAAACCAGAGCAGCAGTATTTTTTTTTCAAACACTCTTGACTAGCTTTTTTTTTAGATATTCACCAAAGTCCTTTTTTTTTAGCAGTAAGTAAGTTAAGTTTTTTTTTTTACTGTCAAGGAAGGAGTTTTTTTTTGTCAAATATAGCACTAGGTTTTTTTTTTTGAGTTCAAATACCAGCTTTTTTTTTACGGTGAAACCCGGTCTCTTTTTTTTTACAAAAATTAGCCAGGCATTTTTTTTTGCGGACTGTAATCCCAGCTTTTTTTTTAGCTGAGGCAGGAGAATCTTTTTTTTTCAGAAGGCAGAGGTTGCATTTTTTTTTGATCGCGCCACTGCGCCTTTTTTTTTTTCCGTCTCAAAAGGGGGATTTTTTTTTAAAAAACAATCTTTCTCATTTTTTTTTGTCCAGTTAGGAACCAAATTTTTTTTTCATCTTCCCCTGAACTATTTTTTTTTTAGGCAAACCAAACACCCTTTTTTTTTTAATGTAACAAAATGCCAGTTTTTTTTTACCAGACGCGACTTGACATTTTTTTTTCTTTCAGTTTTGCTGAATTTTTTTTTTTGGGTATTGGGCTAAAATTTTTTTTTTTGAAGAATCAAGTATGTCTTTTTTTTTTAGTTGGTCTTAACTCCATTTTTTTTTGAATTCCAAACCAAAGTATTTTTTTTTGGGGGCATTTTTAAACATTTTTTTTTTCACACAAAACATTTCAGTTTTTTTTTTAAATTGTATTATGGCAAGTTTTTTTTTAGGACTTGGTTTCCCATTTTTTTTTTTTTGCCCCAAACTCCCTTTTTTTTTTTTATAACACCGTAATACCATTTTTTTTTTACCACTGCAGGGTATCAGTTTTTTTTTAGATCAGAAAACAAAAATTTTTTTTTTCGTCAGGGTAATTATTTATTTTTTTTTTCTCTTTATTCCTGTAATTTTTTTTTTAAAATAATGCCATATAACTTTTTTTTTTACAGATACCAACAGTTTTTTTTTTTTCTAAAACAGGCAGGAAATTTTTTTTTTAACTATTCTCCAATTTTGTTTTTTTTTCAGAGTGATGGAAAAGTCTTTTTTTTTACCAGATGCAATATACTGTTTTTTTTTAGTGGGGTGAAGCAATTGTTTTTTTTTACCTAGCTGACTCTGAATTTTTTTTTTTAAAATAATGTACCAGAATTTTTTTTTAAAAACAAAATGCTACCATTTTTTTTTTCCAGTATCTACCCTTTATTTTTTTTTGTACCTTTATAATGTTTTTTTTTTTTTCGTGGTCTCAAGTTTCTATTTTTTTTTAGTAAAAAAGAACTTTCATTTTTTTTTACTCTTAAACAACCTCCTTTTTTTTTTGCTCTATTTCAATAATTATTTTTTTTTTGATACCCTTCTTGGAACTTTTTTTTTGCTTTGAAACTACGGTATTTTTTTTTTAGATGAACACGTTTCTCTTTTTTTTTTCCTTTAATTTCTCAAGAGTTTTTTTTTTTAAGACGGCTCCAAGTTTTTTTTTTTAGAGCCTTGTATTTTTAGTTTTTTTTTTTCATCGGTCAGAAAAATTTATGTCGACGATACTGCACGAAAGGTTGCTCACAAACCATGCATCGCAAAGCTAACGAGGCAAATTTAAAGAACCAATGAAACAGTGGAGGCTCATCTCTGAATCTTTAATTGGCTATTGCAATCTCAATTTATTGCATTAATAATCTTTTAGACCTCAAGATACACGTGACCTAGGGACAGTTTACATTTTTTTTTAAGACTTAAAAATAGACATTTTTTTTTGCAAGTATTTGAGCACCTTTTTTTTTTCACACAACTCCCCACAACTTTTTTTTTTGCGTTTCTGAAGTTGTATTTTTTTTTTTAGGACACCTGATGGAATTTTTTTTTTTGTTTGGGCTCCCCCCATTTTTTTTTAGGCGGGGGGGGAGAAAATTTTTTTTTATTTTGGGGGCAACAAACTTTTTTTTTCTGTCTCATGTTAAGTCTTTTTTTTTTTCACCTACAGGTCACCACTTTTTTTTTGGAAGTTTTAAAATGAACTTTTTTTTTTCTCCAAAGATCCTCTCTTTTTTTTTTCTCGGCACGGGCGCCTGATTTTTTTTTAAGGTCCCGCGTCTCCGGTTTTTTTTTGAGAGAATCCGGGGGACCTTTTTTTTTTCCCCAGGGCAGTCTTCATTTTTTTTTAGGAACAGGGGCTGCCCGTTTTTTTTTGGTGCTTCCCGCGCTAGGTTTTTTTTTGAGCAGCCAGGGCCTACGTTTTTTTTTGGCAAAGAATACAGCGACTTTTTTTTTCGCAGGGCCACCCGCCCATTTTTTTTTGGTGGGGAGGACCTCACCTTTTTTTTTTCCTCCTCCTGCTGCTGCTTTTTTTTTGGAACCGCGGCCATGGCGTTTTTTTTTTCGAGCAAGGGCCGCCTGTTTTTTTTTGGAAAGAAGAGGCTGGGCTTTTTTTTTCTGGGCGCCTCTCGGGGGTTTTTTTTTCCCCGCCTCCGCCGGCCTTTTTTTTTTACGGCAGCAGGAGGCCTCTTTTTTTTTCCACCATCCCAGCTGCCCTTTTTTTTTGCGAGCAGGGCGCCACGTTTTTTTTTTGTCCCCGCTGCCGTCCATTTTTTTTTTGGGCAAAGACGCCACGCGTTTTTTTTTCTTGCTACGCTCCACGAGTTTTTTTTTGACCGCAGGGCCGCGACGTTTTTTTTTAGCCACGGACACTCTCCCTTTTTTTTTCGTCCAGAGAAAGACCGTTTTTTTTTTCCGGGGGAATTTATTACTTTTTTTTTTTCCAAGATGGCGGCGAGCTTTTTTTTTACCAGATCTCGTGAGAGCTTTTTTTTTCGATTTAGAGGCTCCCGCTTTTTTTTTACGCCGGTCCTTCAGCTGTTTTTTTTTACTCCCTGCCTCTAGCTGTTTTTTTTTCGGCGGAGGCCGAAGAGATTTTTTTTTGGGGCGTGAGCGCCGCGATTTTTTTTTGACCTACTTTGCCTTAGGTTTTTTTTTCCTAATTCGAAACCAAAGTTTTTTTTTGATGAAAGTACGGGTCGCTTTTTTTTTTTCGCGCCTTGAGAGTTATTTTTTTTTTGGTGGCTCCCAAGGTACTTTTTTTTTCCGTAGGCTGGGCTTCTATTTTTTTTTTCTTTTCTCTAATCCAGATTTTTTTTTCAAGGGCCACCGCCGTCCTTTTTTTTTCAGGGGTCCGTGCCCACGTTTTTTTTTGAGGCGCCTTTTTGCGATTTTTTTTTTGGGACCTCAGCGCCGCCATTTTTTTTTACCGGCGAGCGACTGGACTTTTTTTTTCGATTTCCACGTCTGTGCTTTTTTTTTATTCTAGACCTACGGTAGTTTTTTTTTGGACCAAATGAGAAGTATTTTTTTTTTATACTTAGCAGAGAGCCTTTTTTTTTTGAATCAGTAATTGTCTGTTTTTTTTTTCTGTGTGGCCGCCATGGGTTTTTTTTTATCTTTGTGATTTTCCGTTTTTTTTTTACGCCTCCCTGCCTGGGCTTTTTTTTTCTGCATATTAGAGACGGGTTTTTTTTTGCCCCAAGCTGTCTGCTATTTTTTTTTTAATATGTGCCAGTCTTTTTTTTTTTTAGAGTCTTAATTTATTTATTTTTTTTTTTTTGGAGGCAGGGTCTCTTTTTTTTTACTTTCTTAAGAAAGAGCTTTTTTTTTTCATGTCGAAAAAGTTCATTTTTTTTTTGTGCAATGTTATTCTGATTTTTTTTTCGCTTTGATGGTTGTGTTTTTTTTTTTAGGAATACAAACATAAAGTTTTTTTTTCGTTGCAAATAGACTAGATTTTTTTTTAAACAAATCTGAATGAAGTTTTTTTTTTTTCAGACCATTTGCAGGTTTTTTTTTAGTTCAAAGGGATTTTCTTTTTTTTTTGCTGCCCTTGTGGCTTTCTTTTTTTTTTCTTACTCTTGTGGCCGGTTTTTTTTTGTGAACCCATATGAAGAATTTTTTTTTGAAAAATACTCTAATTTATTTTTTTTTGTCTTGTCATCCAGAGGCTTTTTTTTTACCCCAGGATCGGTGGAGTTTTTTTTTTTACTCTATGGACCTGTGTTTTTTTTTAAGCCGCCAAAGCAAGGTTTTTTTTTTCGAGTGCCACAAAACTGGTTTTTTTTTTTCAATCCAGAGAGAAGTTTTTTTTTTAATGCAAGTGATCCTTCATTTTTTTTTAAAATCCCCTTGCAAAGGTTTTTTTTTCCAAGTGTGACCCGAGTGTTTTTTTTTACCATGACAAAACAACAGTTTTTTTTTTTGGAGAGGTGGAAACAGTTTTTTTTTCTGGAACTGGGAGAAGATTTTTTTTTTGAATATAATTCAAGTAATTTTTTTTTTTCTGGTTCTGTATGTTTGTTTTTTTTTCTAGACTAGAGAGCAACGTTTTTTTTTGAATGAGGTTTTGTTTTGTTTTTTTTTCTTAATAGCAAGGAACTCTTTTTTTTTAGTAATTAACATTAAATATTTTTTTTTGTGTATTAACTCACTTGATTTTTTTTTTAGTCCTGTGAAGTATAGTTTTTTTTTCCTACATTTTACAGATGATTTTTTTTTAGATCAAATAATTTGACTTTTTTTTTTATAAAATTCACTTGTTTTTTTTTTTTTCAACAATATTAGAATTGCTTTTTTTTTTTGATTATGGAAAAAAGTTTTTTTTTTACAGAATTCTAGTTGTTTTTTTTTTTTGCTGTTTAGAATCTAGTATTTTTTTTTTGCCCTACTTATTAGCGTTTTTTTTTTCGTAAATTTAAAGACCCTTTTTTTTTTCAGAACACATGCCCTATATTTTTTTTTTGGTAAACTGAGATAATCTTTTTTTTTTCATAAGGATCTGAGAATTTTTTTTTTTTAAACTTCAACTTCTAATTTTTTTTTTTGGACAAGTGAGGAGAATTTTTTTTTTAAACTTAATATTCCATTTTTTTTTTTCATTGGCATCGGTGAATTTTTTTTTTTCGTAAATTATATAGGGGTTTTTTTTTTAAGGAAAGTTTTACATCATTTTTTTTTTTACCCAAGCTTCCCAAATTTTTTTTTATGTACTCTTAGTGGTACTTTTTTTTTTTTATTTTTATTTTAAGATTTTTTTTTTGACCTTTGGCTTAATAGTTTTTTTTTCTTCTATTTAAGTCGTCTTTTTTTTTTTCCAGACTCTTAAAACTGTTTTTTTTTTTAAACATGTCACACGTTTTTTTTTTTAATACTAAGTATATACAATTTTTTTTTGATATAGCAGAAATGGTCTTTTTTTTTGCTTCTTATAACATTCCTTTTTTTTTTGGGGCAAGGATTATATATTTTTTTTTTAACTGCCTTCCTAAGATATTTTTTTTTTAGCAACCACCAAACTATTTTTTTTTTTCCAAACAACCAACATAATTTTTTTTTAATGGCATCCTATAGTTTTTTTTTTTTACCACTAAAATTTAGAATTTTTTTTTTCCTCATGAGAAGTTATTTTTTTTTTTTCAGGAATGTCACAGCTGATTTTTTTTTTAAGAAATGTATTATTAATTTTTTTTTGAAACCTGCTGGAACACGTTTTTTTTTAGGGCCTGTAGCTCTTGGTTTTTTTTTAGGAAGTGCACCAGAGAGTTTTTTTTTTTTGGAATGTGAATGAGCTTTTTTTTTCCAGGCAGAGAGAAGACTTTTTTTTTTTTTTCATAGAGTCAGCTTTTTTTTTTTAGATTAGCACTCAGCTGTTTTTTTTTTTTAACTCAGTAGCAACCTTTTTTTTTTAGCAGAATCGGCCGGGCGTTTTTTTTTAAGCCTGTAATCCCAGCATTTTTTTTTGCCGAGACGAGCGGATCATTTTTTTTTGAGATCGAGACCATCCTGTTTTTTTTTGTGAAACCCCGTCTCTACTTTTTTTTTCAAAAAACTAGCCAGGCGTTTTTTTTTGCGCCTGTAGTCCCAGCTTTTTTTTTTGCTGAGGCAAGAGAATGGTTTTTTTTTGGGAGGCGGAGCTTGCAGTTTTTTTTTATCTGGCCACTGCACTCCTTTTTTTTTAACAGAGCGAGACTCCGTTTTTTTTTTAAAAAAAAAAAAAAAAAGTTTTTTTTTGCTTCCCCTCACTGACCCTTTTTTTTTTTGACCTACCGGACCCAATTTTTTTTTCCATCTCAGCCTGCTGAGTTTTTTTTTGTGCACCACCATGCCTGGTTTTTTTTTTTATTTTTTGTAGAGACGTTTTTTTTTCTATGTTGCCCAGGCTGGTTTTTTTTTCCTGTCTTCAAACGGTGCTTTTTTTTTGGCCTCCCAAAGTATTGGTTTTTTTTTTGTGACCCACTGCGCCCATTTTTTTTTACTCTTTTTAAGAAAATATTTTTTTTTAAGCAACGGGTTCTGAAATTTTTTTTTGGACAATTAGTGTCATGGTTTTTTTTTGAAAAAGGGCTCACTATGTTGATTAGTGGGTCTGGAGGATATTGGATCCCAAACCCAAGAAGGTGGCACCCAAGAAGAATTACATTTTAAAAATTATAAAGATTTTTTTAATGAAAAATATTGGATCAATAAATTAATTTCTACCCAGTCTTCTGAAAGGTGAGAGCATAGAAATATGTGTCTGGCATTCTTCCAAATACTTGAGCAGTTTCCCAAGCGTCAGTTCACCTTTTGAAGACTGGCAGGGATGAGAAAGTCTGACTTACTCTGTTTTGTATTTTGTGTATAAATACACACAAAGGGCTGGGGTTTAGATTTTAATTCTTTTTTTTTTTTTTTGGCTGTGCTGATTTAATCCTGAAGTATTAGCCATCCTGCCAGTTCCATCATGAGAATACTGGAGATGCATGGAGGTTTTTTTAGTGCACTTCATATATGAGGACTTGAAAGCATTTCACTTTTACTACTTTGAGTGAATAACCTGACTTGATGCTACATGCAGTAAATATTCTTGAATCATTTTTTATTTTTATAAATTGAATCATGTTGAATGTTCTGAGCCTTAGTGTCTGAAGGATCCTGTGATCTAGGTTTTCATGTTTGTGATCATGTGTATGTGAAGAACCTAGCCAGGGGTAAGTTTGCAGCGAGAAATGTACAGTCTATTGGCATGGCATTTGCTAAGTTTTTTCCTTTTTTTTTTTAACATGTTTGTCTCCTTTTTTTTTTACCTAGTGTGTAGATGAATTTTTTTTTTCTTTTTCCTAGGCCTTATTTTTTTTTGTCATAAATTTCTTGTAGTTTTTTTTTATGTTAATAATTCCAACTTTTTTTTTTAAATTTAGAGTAGAATAATTTTTTTTTTAAGTTGAATTTCATTTATTTTTTTTTATAATTTTTCAGAAGGGATTTTTTTTTTTGCTAATGATAGAATTGTTTTTTTTTGCCGGGCGTGGTGGCTCATTTTTTTTTTCCTAACACTTTGGGAGGTTTTTTTTTGCAGATCACTTGAGGTCATTTTTTTTTAACCAGCCTGGTCAACATTTTTTTTTTCCATCTCTACTAAAACTATTTTTTTTTTAGCTGGGCGCAGTGGCGTTTTTTTTTAATCCCAGGTACTCGGGATTTTTTTTTAGGAGAATCGCTTGAACCTTTTTTTTTGAGATTGCAGTGAGCGGATTTTTTTTTACTGCACTCCAGCCTGGATTTTTTTTTAAAAAAGAATTGACTTTTTTTTTTTTTTAAAATATAGTTGAAGGCTTTTTTTTTTGGCTCATGCCTGTAATCTTTTTTTTTTGGGAGACCAAGGTGGGATTTTTTTTTGAGGCCAGGTGTTCCAGATTTTTTTTTGCAACAGAGAGAGATTGCTTTTTTTTTAAAGAAAATTTTTTTTTATTTTTTTTTGCGTGGTGGCACGTGCCTTTTTTTTTTGAATTGCTTAAGGCCAGGTTTTTTTTTTTACAGTGAGCTATGATGTTTTTTTTTGACTCCAGCCTGGGTGACTTTTTTTTTCGTCTCAAAAAAAAAAAATTTTTTTTTAACAAAATATAAAGTTGTTTTTTTTTTTTTCTGTGGGTCTGTCTGTTTTTTTTTTCCAAGCACGTGTATTTCTTTTTTTTTTTCTCTGTGTATCTAATTTTTTTTTTTCAAGATTGCCCTCTTTGCTTTTTTTTTTAGTAGATTGGAAAGAACTTTTTTTTTGGTGCCAGGCTGCCTGTCTTTTTTTTTGCTTTGGGACAAATTAACTTTTTTTTTTAGTGGGACAGGGCCTCATTTTTTTTTAAGCGGGTAACTTACAATTTTTTTTTTGCTGGGTTGTTGGGTTTGTTTTTTTTTTAATGTTTTGAAAGCTCCTTTTTTTTTGCTTAGCATAACAGTCCCTTTTTTTTTTTTCTCTCCTCTTACTAATTTTTTTTTAAATATATAATATTTCTTTTTTTTTTTGAATCTCTTTTGTGTTCCTTTTTTTTTTTTTT